AGGCTGGCTTTCTGGGATTAAAGGCGTGTGCCACCACCGCCACACTCTTGCAAAGGCTCTAATAGCTCTGACCCCCGGGCAACTTTATTTATTAACATACAATCAAAATCACATTTCAGTATAATTAGATTACCACCACAAGTGGCTGTGAAGCCCTCATGGGACTGAACTAGGCCCTCTGGATACAGAAGACAGTTGTTTGGCTCAAACTGTTTGGTGGGCACCCAGGCAGGGGGATCAGGATCCATCCCTGGTACATGGGCAGGCTTTTGGGAATCTGGTGCCTGTGATGCAGTGGGAAGGGGCTTGGACCTGCCTAGGCTCAGTGTGCCGGGCTTTGCTGACTCCCCATGGGAGACCTTGATTTGGAGGATGTGGGGATGTGGGGTGGCTTGGGAGAGAGGGCTGGGGGTGGAATGAGGGAGGAAATGGGATCTGTGGGTGGTATGTAGAGTGAGTAGAAAATTTCTTAATAAAGAAAAATGAAATAAAAAAAAGCTGGTCTGAGCAGAAATGGTTAGAAGGATGAGGGGGTCTTGAAGAGTGAGGATTTTGTCTAGAATTCTTAGTCACTTGACTGGTTGTAATATATGATTTTTCTCTTCATAGTTACTCTCAGGTAGTTCACTATATTCAGAAAGCTCAGTATCTGGGCTCTCATGGATTCAGTACCTCATCATTCCTCATTATGGATTTACAGTAAGTTGTCCTTCTGTGACTGTACTTGGGGGTCTCCAACTGTAGCAACTGAAATGAATCCCAGCCAAGTCCTTTCCCCAGCTGTAATCTCTAACCAGCAGCTGCTCAGGATTTTCCTTCCAGGAGCAAAAGATGAGAACTTTCCTGTTAATTCTAGCCAAAGGTCAGTGAGTCATCTGGGTTTTTCCCCAGTCACGTGTTATTTGAAGGAAGTAAAGGGTGAGAAAAATCTCAGGGTAAAGAGAGAAGATAGATGATATGATGAAAAGCATACAGTTGTGATTCTACCAAGTAAGGAAATAATGAAAGGATCAGGAATTAAGATATATAGTTTATATCAGGAAATTAAAAGAAATAGAAACCATGTGATAGCCATAGACATATTGGCATTGCCAAGCTTTCTCTGCAGTAAAGTGTGTCTTAACAGACTTTCTTACTCCCATAATCTCAACTGGTTTTGATGAAAAGAAGCAAGAAATATTATTACTATAAATCTATAGTATTGTTTTAATTACAGTGTTTACATGGTTATGGACTGCACAGAGAAGGAGGTGCCTGAGGTAATCTAGTTAGAGAGTCCACCTCTTAGTAGTTGGGAAGCCCCATCATTTCAATCCTAACCCTCCTGAGTGTGGGGGAGGGGCACTGCTTTGCTGGGCAGACTGAACTTGGTGGAGGTTGTTCATTTAAAAATATTTTTGGAAATTACAGTCCAGATTGATCTTGAATTTATAGCTATATTTACTCTTTAGAAACTTATGGAAATATTAAACTATTTGCCTTTCTCTGTTTTTGTTTGTGTTACAGGCTTTGCAACACAATGAATTCCTGGGACAAAACTTCTGTCCAGAACATAACGCAGAAGAAATCAGTAGATGTCAGAACTATGTGATGTAAGCTTGAGTTCATTGTCATAATGGGGACATAGAATGCTGCTAGACTTAGAGAGGAAACCCATACTTTCAGGGTTAACATTGTCCTCTCCTGGTTCCCCAGACAGAATCACTGTAACCAATGCACACAGGGATGTGTTTTGATCCTACTGCTCCATGGTGTAGTTAATGTGCAGAAAGGGTTCGTTGGGCCTTTTGAAAATGGTTTTGGTGTCTTGATTGTGGATTTGAGTTCCTTGTTTCAGAACATTAGAGTTTGACCTAGGCTGCTCTGATAGTTAACAAAGACACTCAGTTTCTATATGTATAGACTATGGTACCTGTGAGCAGAGCCCAAGAACATCAGGGCAGCAAGGACTAAAGTGAGTGAGTTTTACCTGCCAGATTTCAGGACCTTCCATCTGCTTTACATTCTAGAGGACTTCAAGAAATCAAAGATTTGTGTGTGTGTGTGTGTGTGTGTGTGTGTGTGTGTGTGTGTGTGTGTAAAATGACCTACCAGAGGATATGACCTGCAGTGAAAGAAACACATATTTCAGTGTATTGAGAAGGAAATATAATTTTTGTCTAATACCATGAAAATAGAAACAATTTTTTAAATAAAATTAAAGTGTATTGTTTTAAAGTTTCAATATCTTCCCTATCTACAATTGCTCTCATTGATTTGACTTTGATGTATAAATGAGAGAGGAACAGGCTGATATGCTCAGTCTCTCCTGATATTCAAAATAATAATGAATAATAGTAACCCAAATTATGTTTGAACTACTGATAAGAAAACAAGTATGAGGGGGTGTCTTATTTCCCATATCTCCTTTCTCCTGCTGTGGTCTGTATCCTAATAGAAGTTCCTTACTACTTTTTTGTCAGAAGGATGCAGATGGTGTTGTTGGTTGTTTTTGCTCTTTTAGGGGCCCCCCACCCAGCTCCCAAATAAATAACACACAGAAGCTTATACTTAATTATAAATGCCCAGCATTAGCTTGGCTTGTTTTTTTGCCAGCTTTTCTTAACTTTAAATTATCCCATATACCTTTTGCCTCTGGGCTTTTTCCTTTTCTTATTTTGTATATCTTACTTTCAATCTTACTCTGTGGCTAGCTGTGTGGCTGTGTGGCTGGCCCCTAGCATCCTCCTCTCCTTGTTCTCTTGTACTTTTTCCTTTTTTCGCCATATTTCTCCTATTTATTCTCTCTGCATGCCAGGCCTACCTATCCTTTCTCCTGCCTTGCTATTGGCTGTTCATGTCTTTATTAGACCATTGGGTGTTTTAGAGAGGTAAAATAACACAGTTTCACAAAGTTAAACAAATACAGCATAAAACAATGTATCACATCTTTGCACCATTAAACAGATGTTCCACATCACAAACATAGGTAACACATGTTAAAATAATATTCCACAAATCGATGGGTAAAGTGAAACCAGAGATGGGTCATTTACAGACCTCACAAGAGGAAGAAATCTGCCCTTTCAGTGGATTTGAAAACTATTAAATCCTAAGAGATACGGAGGATGGAGACATACAGATATGGAGACACATAGAGATGGAGACACACAGGGATGGACACACAGTGATGATTGTAGTGTATCCTGAATTTTTAGCAGCAGCTGCTTTTCTAACCTGTGTCAGGGCCCCTGCATCCTGCTGTGCTCCAACTGCTACCCAGGCTCTGTCTGTAGCCATGGGCTGCTGGGGATGTTCCATAGATGAGCAACCGTGATTGTCATGCTCCCTCAGTAGAAGAGTTGACAGCAATGGACTGACTCCTGTCAGAAACCTTTAGTCTCCTCTGGTCCTCAGTCTAGAATTTGATGCTGTGTTTATTGCATGACTGTCCACTGAGTCAGCAGAACTGCACAAAGCTTTAATCTCTTAGAGTGTCTGTGTGTCATTAGGAAGCTGAGGTTTTCCACTTCAGGAGAAACAAGTCCTTCATCCATGTCTTTGCCTGTTGAGGAGAGGGCAGCATTGCAGATTTAGAAATGTGTGACACAGTGAAGACTACAAAGTTGCATCTTAGTGTGACTCTCTAAACTCAGCCCAGTTTACTGAGCCTACTTCCTCTACTTGTGCTTTTATTTATTTATTTATTTATTTATTTATTTATTTATTTATTTATTTATTTATTTATTTGTTTTTCGAGACAGGGTTTCACTGTGTAGCTTTGCGCCTTTCCTGGAACTCACTTGGTAGCCCAGGCTGGCCTCGAACTCACAGAGATCCACCTGCCTCTGCCTCCCGAGTGCTGGGATTAAAGGCGTGCGCCACCACCGCCCGGCTACTTGCGCTTTTAAATAGATGTGATAGCTCTGCCTCTTTGGATGGTTTTTGAAATTAACAAAGGAACCTGATTCAGGTAGTTTAGATTGACATAATATATCACAAAATAGTAAATACATCATTACTAATATCAATTAAATATAAAGAAGTTTTTAATGATGTGTAGAAACTGAGTTTTTAAAAGGAAGCAACAGTTAATGTACTGAATAATCTTTGACATTATTTTTGTGTATTGAATTACAGATGTACTGGTGAAGAATTCTTGACGATCCAGGGCATCGATCTCTCATCATGGGGCTTCTGGAAGAATCACGTGGCCTTAGCTTGTATAATGATTATCTTCTTATTAATTACCTATGTGCGGTTATTAGTTCTTAAGAAAAAGAGACATTTTTGAATCACTCCTCCACTTTCTTTGAATTCATCTGACACTGAAAAGAAATTAAAACTTTCCCTGTGTGTGGCCGTGTCAGAGGAGCAGCAGGTGGCACTGAAGCTTCAGGAAAGTCACCAGCGTGCAAGGCACTGATGGGTGAATCTCTGATGGGCAAGGCCAAGGGGGCTTCAGCTTCTGAATGTCTCTTGCTAGTGCTGTGCCTTCACATGTTTGCTGCTGCCATTTTTTTCTGGAATGAATTGTGTGAATGGGGGTGGGGGAATACCCACTGCCTTTAATGTTGTATGCTTATCTTGTGGAAATATCCCATTCTACTGGGCATTTTTCCTATAGATTATTATGAAGATGATTTCCTCTTAAGCTGTACTGTTTAACTGAAGTAATGGTTTTATACAGTAATAGTGGTAGTTTAAATAGAATTTTGATGAAAAAGGGTTTTTAACACATGTAGTAAGGGATTATGATAGAGGTGAGTTTAGTGGGAAATTTATTATAGGTAAATATAAGATATAGTGTTGTCCCCCCTCTTCCCCCAATGAAGCAGGGACTGCATTGATAGAAATTTGGACCAAGGAAGTGTCATGCAGCTTACGAGTTTCTCTTGAGGAGACCTATAGACTATGGTTTAGGTGAATGATTAAGAAAAACAACCAAGACCCAGGAATTAGCTTAAGTTCTTTTTGATATTGGGAAATGTGTTCATGGATTTTGGAGTGCATCATAGCTAAAACAAAGCTTTAAATAATACTTCATGTAACTAGAAAAAAAAAGTTGGATAGTTAGTTAAGATAATTGGGAAGAACTCTTAAAATTAAAACCCATATTTCTTACAATTATAAAAACTACTGCCTTTATAACAGTTATGGCTGAAAGGCTCCTGATCTATGAGAATTCTAAAAGATAAATGGTTAACTGTATGTGAGTACTTTGGGACTATTTGTTTTTCATCTGTAATATGTAAAATGTTTACTCATTTTTTTTTAACTGGTATTCATTGTAATCATTTACTTAAAAATACAATGTAATGACATTGTAATTTTTATATACCTTGAAAGATTCTACTGGGGTTTATAAGCTGTAAGGGAAAAAATAAAGAAGTTTGAAGGAAGACATCAGGAAGTAATGAGAAGGAAGACATTAGGAAGTAGTGAGAAGGAAGTCATCAGGAAGTAGAGAGAAGGAAGTCATCAGGAAGTAGTAAGAAGGAAGTCATCAGGAAGTAGAAGGAAGTCATCAGGAAGTAGTGAGAAGGAAGACATCAGGAAGTAGTGAGAAGGAAGTCATCAGGAAGTAGTGAGAAGGAAGACATCAGGAAGTAGTGAGAAGGAAGTCATCAGGAAGTGGTGAGAAGGAAGTCATCAGGAAGTAGTGAGAAGGAAGACATCAGGAAGTAGTAAGAAGGAAGTCATCAGGAAGTGGTGAGAAGGAAGTCATCAGGAAGTAGTGAGAAGGAAGTCACTAGGAAAGAGAAAGAAGGAAATGTCAGGGTAGAAGAACAGACAGAAAAACGATAGAGTAGAACAAGCAATGGAAACAATAATAAAATGAAGATCTAAGCTTTGACCCTCAGAAAAGTCCTAGTGTGTCTGTTTGTCTGTCTGTTAGCTCACCTGCTCTGCATCTCCTCTTCAGTTTCTCTGACCTGCTGAAGGCTGCCACCCATCAACACCCTAGGTGAGAACCTGACATGTTGGAGTGGTGTGT